ACACCATGTTGCTGAAGTTTTGAGTCCACTTCAGACACCATGTTGCTGAAGTTTTGAGTCCACTTCAGACACCATGTTGTTGAAGTTTTGAGTCCCAGAAAAAGAATATGAGAGGGCTCTTAAGGAAAAGCAGAAGCAACGGTAAGCACAAGGGTCCTCTTCAGGGTTGGGTCTTCGACCCAGAAGGAGGGGAGAAGCCTACACAAGGTGAGAGGTGTATGCCTTTGAGAGGGTAGGGGCGGATTCGAGGGTTTGCTGTATTCTGGGGCTGGGGCTGGTATTTGGGTGCGGATCAGCCCTGGCAGGGGCAGGTAGAGACAAAGGGCACTGTGTTTTTTTTTTCTTCAGTGGGGAGTGGTGTTAACGGGGGCTATCTCACGGAGAAGGTGGGATGGAGGGAATGAGGGAACCGCTGTGCCGCGGGGGTGTACTTTTGGAGGGAACCGTATGCTCTTAAGGGTGCGGAGGTGACTGTTTAGGGGGGGCCGCCCGGGACTGCGGCCGATGAGGAGAAGGTGGACTCTCTCTCGGCGGAGGCAGTTTAAGGACAGGGGGGGTGTTTCTCCTTTGAGGAGGAGGGGGTGACCTAGAGGCAGCGCGATGAAGCCTTCGATCTTACGGTAGTGTGTTAGCAGTGGTATGGGAAGAAGGCCTACCCTGTGGGGGTAGCGTCTTGGAAGGAAGTGGTGCGCCTGGGAGGGTACGGCTGGTAATTGAGGGCTGCGCTGTTCTGGGGCCGGGGTTTTGAGGAGCGCTATTCTGGGGCCGGGGTTTTGAGGAGCGCCTGGACGGATATGTACGTGGTGTTTGGTGAGGAGCACGTCATGTGATCAGACTCTTCATTGACATCAGTCGAGAGGAGAGTGAAGAACGAGTGCGAGAGGTAGTGGGCTATAACATGTGTTAATTGAGTAGGAGAGTAGTATGGGCAGACACATCATAGTAGGGCCACTATGTTATTGTTCTGCTGACTGTTGGTGGTAGGAAGAGGGCTTTTATTGTCAAGAAACTACAGTGCTCAGTGTGTTCTTGATTGTGTGCGATCTCAGCTTTTTTTGTCATTCTGCTTTCAACTTGGCATATTCATGATTGGCCTTCTGTGAGCTTTTGCATCTGCAAACTTTTTCGCTGATTGGAAATATGATTGGATGGTTCCTTGCATTTGATTGATCTGATTGGACTCATTGCGTTTGATTGGATGTGATAGGATTTTGATGGTATTCGATTGGATGTGACCAGATTTTGTGGGATTTTATGGGGTTTGAATCGTGGATGGAATATGATTGGATTTGATAAATGTGTAAGGAAAATGAGAGAGAGCGAAATGACAGAAATCTAGAATGCAAAATCACATCGAAAGCCAGCAAGTCCAATGCTGTCCAGAAAGCAGAAATGCACTGATGTTGCGCCAACGGAGAACCAAAACACTGAATCCAAATGTCAATGAGAGCATACTCTTTCGCCACCACCAACAGATGTATCCAGAGTCCTTCCTCCCACTTGGCGCTCAGGGCCCAGAGTACAATCACACTGCTTACTAGCAGCCTACGAATTGACAATACATCCAGTTGACAACAGCAGCAGAACCGGAGTACATGAAGATGTCAACCCTTGTAGACCATCGCCAAGGCCAGGTATGTGCTCTCACATCATCAACCTCATCTCTTTCTCTCTCTCACCCTTGTCTCTATCACCCACGTCTTCCCTCTCATACACGAAGACCACCGCCACCTCCCGCTGACTGTCCAAGCCAAACCTGGCTACGGCTGGGCTGACTATGGTGCTGCCCGCAGCAGCGCCCTGCCTCTCTTCGATGCCCGCGCGCGCCCATCTTGCACCTAGCGCTAGCGCACAGCCCGCGAACGCACACTCAAGCAGCGCTGGCGCATGCACTACGTAGCGCCCAACGATCCTCCCCGGAGCCCAGCCCTTTCCTATATGGAAAGTGGCGGGCACTTTCCACTTGCTTCCTCGGTGAGACCGAGTTCCCAGTAGCTTCAGTCTTGGCCAAAGTGTCTGCGCCCAGGCCTGTTCAGACAGTGCCCTGGGACCGAATTGGTTAGGCTGCGGCATGCCCAACCACCCAGGCACAAACGTGCGGTGCTCCCTGCTTTGACCCCGTTGCTAGAAGAGCCTGGAAGGCTCATGCATATTTCCGATTCTCACGAGCAAAGCGGATGTAACCACCTGGCGCATGGTAACTGTCCGACGCCCACCAATATTTGCAAAAATTGACGAGTTCGGGGCACATTGAGATTCAGGGAGCCCGCCTTCACTTAGGGCGGGCACGCACCTGCTGCAGGGCCTTACGCCGAGGGTACACCCTCGCAAATGGATCAATTGATCAATCAACAACGAGATGCAAGTACCTTGGATTATTTATTAGTATTGTCGGGTGACTAATTGCTCAATAAGTATGCAAGTAATTTGGTTGATTAAAGTTCATGAAGCTTGATTTAATATAGTCTTTTTTTTTTTTTTAACATCTCTTGCTGGGTGCTAGAGGTGTTGATAAGAGCAATCACTGCTAGCACCCCAAGTGAGGCTCCATCTATTGGTGGGGAGCATCACCTGCTGGAAAACGGGTCCAGCGTCCCATATACAGCACAAGTCTGGAATTTTCTGAGGGGAGTAAAATTGAGACCTGCCAGCATTGGTTAGTTTTTAACTTTTTACTCTTCTAATCGAAGTCCGTCAATTGTTGTGTTGGACTTTTCCACAGGTGAGGTCCTTCTCTATGGGTGACCCAGCTTCAAAGTTCTGGCTGCTGTTTTGTCAGAGATCTTGTTGGTAATGCAAACATGATGGCGTCTTGTTGTTGAGGCTGGTTTGGCTTTGATGTTTTTACGGGGGTGGAGAGGTATTGGACATTCAGAACATCTGGTCACTGGATTTCCCGTTGCACTCGCCTGATTTGGTATTGAATCTATTGATATATTCAGCCTCTTGATGAGTCGGTGAAACTCCAATGAAACATTTTGTCACAGCCCCTCGTTTGTTGTCCGCTTCTCCCTCTCTGCCTACAGTTTACCGGGTAGCTCTGTTTGACGATACACACACACACACACACACACACANCACACACACACACACACACACACACACACACACACACACACACACACACACACACACAGAGGGGCTGTGACAAAATGGGCGTGTGTATATCACAGCTGAATTAGGGAGTAGTCTGCTCACAACTGGGCCTGATTGCACAATGGGCGCTTGCTGTGTTCTTTATTTATCCATCTAGCTTTTTTTTTTTTTTTTTTTTTTTTTTTCTATAATCAGATAATAAAATGGATTATAGTTGTGCAAGTCTTTGTAGGGGGCCGCTTGCAGTGTGCAGTCTGATGAAAACCAGGCTGTATGTATTGCTTCCTCAACCTTCTATGTGCTGTCATGTAGGACAACAGACTCATTTACATTTCTCCGTTAGAATGTCGGTGCTGACAAGACGCCTCAGCGTTTTTAGGTTCTCTCGCCTGCCGGCTCTAAGCGGCGCTTCGCCTACCCTTGATCAGCATCATTGTGCATGCCAGTTCAACCTGGGTATTGGACCTGATTTATGCCCTCCAAGCAATGCATCTGCAGGGGCTTGTCGGTGGCCTCCGTTTCGCATCGGGTCGGAACAGTTTAGAAGTCGACGGCGTACTCCTTTCAGACCATGGCGCGCTGCCATGGTTGAGAAATCCTCCGCATCTGGCCGTGCATCCTGGTTAGGTGACAGCACTGCAGCTAGTGAAGTAGCGACTGACTTTATCGAGGATGACGACGACAGTGATGATGGTCATGGTGATGATGATGATGATGATGAGGAGGAGGAGGAGGAGGAGGAGGAGGAGGAGGATGTAGAGGTGCTGGTAAAAATAAAAAACCAACAATCAGTCAAAAGATGGAAAGGTTACAGAGCGATGACCATGTCTTCATGGCTACAACTTGCTGCAGCGGCAAATGAGGACGGAGAGGGGCAAAAAAGGACTCAGGAGGGGCGTCCAACAAAGGGCGACGAGATTGAAAGTAGCGTGATATATGGTGACCATGACATTGAATCCAGGAGCGTGGTAAATGGCACAACGAGACAGCGCTCAGCAAAACGAACAGCTCTTTATGCCGCACAGAAATCATACAAGGACAGGTTTACTTCCGCTTTGAGATACGAATTGGAGGAGGAGATGGCTTCTCTTCAGCAACGCCTTCAAGTCTGGTCGACTAAGAAGCTACAGGCTGAGGGATATGCTCTCTGCAACCTGAACGTCAAGCACGATGGTTACCTGTATCGAAATCGCATTCTTCGATTCACCAGCCCAGTGGGTTCTGGCCTCCTTCCCGACAATCACCAGTTTACCCCTGGTGACACGGTCCTGATAAGCCGTAGCGGCTCACGGCCTCGTGCTGAGCATGCCGAGGGAGGCATCTGCGAAGGGTTTGTTGTGGAGAGGGCGAGGAGGTTTCTACGTGTGGCGCTGGCCTCGTCTGCACTGAATCAGGGACAGTTTCAAGTCATCAAGGACAACGAACATGATCGTTGGAGGCTCGATCTGTCAGCCAATCGGATTGTGTTTGAGCGCGCTATGATCGCAGTGGACTGGATGGCAAGGACGACAGATGCCGATTTACGTTCTGACGCACAACAGATCCGTACCAAAACCGATCCAAAAGAGGCGAGGATTGGAAGTGCCCTCAGTCGACATAAAAGTGGGCAGGGAAAGAACAGTAATAGAGTTGTAGAGAAAGTCAGCAGAGGAGCAACTGCACTGTCTGCACATGGAGACCTTCATGGCCACCATGGAGCAAGTGCCGGCCGTGGCAACAAGAAAGTTTATAGAGAAGAAACTGACTTCTGCATAGGCGAGGGGTTTATGGCCATACAGGGGTTGTTGATGGGGCTGGAATCGGGTGTTGTTCAAGCGGCAGTGGACAGAGTGGAGGACAAGGGGATGACAGGTGAATTCAAGGGAGGAGCGTCTCGGATTCAAAAGGGGTCAAAATGGTGGGAGCTGGTCAGTGCAGCTTCCACCCCGCCTCCATGGGCGACTGGAAAGCAGGCAGGTGAGTTCAGAGGCGCAGTCCGTAGAATTTTAGATGAGATGCAACGGCAGCATAAAGTTAACGACAGTCAGAGAGCGGCTATCGAGTCTGCGATGTGCCGGCGTTTGACGCTTTGGCAAGGACCTCCAGGCACTGGAAAGACAAGAACGCTGCTGCAGTACATCGCCGTGTGTAAGGCGGCGGTGGCGTGCCAGGTTCTGGCATGTGCGGACAGCAATGTCGCTGTGGACAATCTTGTGGAAGGACTGGTGGAAATGGGCCTTTGTGTCGTGCGACTGGGACAGCCATTCAGAGTGAAGCAGTCGCTGCAAGAGGTGACGCTTGAGGCGCGCCTAGCTAAACATCCAGAAATGCAAGCAGCAACGAAGATGAAGGAGAGGGCCATTCGACAGAGGCAGCAAGCTAGGAAGTTGGGAAAGGGTAAGGGCCGGGTCGACGCAGCTCGTGCAGCAGCCCGCACATGGGCGGATGCCGAAGCTGCAGAAACAGCAGCAATTAACTCCATTTTGGATAGTGCTGATGTGGTGGCTTCTACTTGTGCCACTGCCGGTGATCATTATCTTCATCAGCGGCGTTTCAAGGTCCTTGTTCTGGATGAGGCCACACAGGCTACAGAGCCAGTCTCCATCATTTCTCTGCTGCGGGGTGCCCATAGCGTCGTCCTTGTCGGAGATACGGCACAGCTTCCCCCTACGGTCATTTCGCACGAGGCTGTCCTCCAGGGTTTGGACATCAGCCTGTGTGAGCGGCTCCAGCAGTGCGGTATCGAGCCCGCCTTTCTAAACTTGCAGTACCGAATGCACCCCAAGATCGCCGAGTTCCCTTCGCGAGTTTTTTACAGCGGCCGGCTTACCTCACAACCTCGCCCATCAGATCGCCCGGTACCGAAAGGATTTCCTTGGCCAGTCCCGCAGCACCCGATCGCCTTCATCGATTGCTTGGATGCAGTTGAGGAATCAGGTGGGGGAGCTGATGAAGGGGAAAGGACGTCGTGGATGAATCAAGCAGAGGCGCAAGCCGTTGTTAAGATAGTGAGTGATCTCTTGGCCGGTGGAGATGTCGGTGATGCCGATGCGATCGGAATAATCACCCCGTATTCTGCACAGGTGAAACTCCTCCAGGACTTGTTAGGAGTGTTTGGCAGAGAAGGTAGCCCAAAATTTGGGCGCCGGGTAAGTAATGATGCTAAGCTGGAGGACATAGAGGTACGGACTGTTGACGGCTTCCAGGGTCGGGAGAAGGAGGTGATCATCGTTTCGACTGTCCGGTCTAATGACCGCGGAAGGCTAGGATTCGTCGCAGATCCGCGTCGCATGAATGTCGCTCTCACGCGGGCCCGCAGGGGACTCATTGTTGTGGGGTCAGGGTCCACCCTCAGCAAGGGTAATAGTCCTTGGATGCTATGGATGGACTACGTCTGTAACAACGGGTATGTTGTCGATCGCTACTAAAAGTCGAGTTGATTGGACAAACTGTCACAATCAGCAATCGCCAGCAACTCAAGGAGTCCACTAACTTACCGGGGAGCCGCTTGGGCATTGCGAAACAAGATCATCACACATTACTTGCTGGAGTTCCCTTCCCTTGTTTTCCCTTTTTTTTTATCGGAGGTGATTTTGTTGTGTGATTATTAGATGCGGTTCTAAGTTCTAAGAGTGACATTCACTCTACTTTACATTGGAATTGCAATGTATCATTGAGATATTTATCAGATCCACATCCAGGGAGGAATGGAAGGCATATGTGACCACAGACAGTCACACGTCTGCACAATGAGCGTGTTTTGTCAAAGGACACGGATTAGTAATTAATAATTATTCCCTTCCTTTATCATCTTCTTAGGGCATACTCACACTAGCCCCTCAAAATTGCAAAATCCCAAAATCGGCGGCCAGATCGAGTCCTCGTAAGGTGAGGACTCGATCCGGCTGCTGATTTGTTACTTTGTGATTTCGAGTGCCTAGAGTAAGTAAATCTCTTTAACTTGTTTTTTGGCTAGCTTCACTAATGGTTAATAGATGCTGGCCTTCCATTAACCATCTCTCTTTTGGCTCTGCCCAATAGAGTGGATATGCCAGCTTGCCTAGGACAGCTGCTCAGTCCTGCATTCCACTCCACGTGTGTCCATGCTTGGAACCTTCATCTTCACAGATATCTTTCATGAATAGTGCGGCACTTGTTATTTGTGTTCAAAGTAGTAGTAGCAGTAGCAGTAGTAGTAGTAGTAGTACAAGAAGAAGAAGAAGAAAGCAGCAGAAGCAGCAGCAGCTGTAGTGGGCACCCTGAGGCCCGGCATCTAGGCCGGTCCAGTTTCAGGTTGTCGGCCTGATCATGGTCCGGTACCTGGACCTGGACCTGGGCCCAGGCCTGGGTCCAGGTACTGGGTCCGATACCTGGGCCTGGGTCCAGGTACCTGGGCCTGGGTCCACGTACTGGACCCAGTACCTGATATAGCGGCCTGTCGTTTTCCCAGTACGTGGACCCAGGCCGCAATATCACTTTGGCCTAGGCCCAGGTCCGGGGGTTGGGTTCGATTCTCTTTTCGGTTCGATTGCTCATTCATTGATGCAGTCGGACAATCCCACGTTCAGCTCCTGCTTCCAGTGTGTGTCCATCTCTCTTGTGCTCTCTCTCTCTCTCTCTCTCTCTCTCTCTCTCTCTCTCTCTCTCTCTCTCTCTCTCTCTCNCTCTCTCTCTCTCTCTCTCTCTCTCTCTCTCTCTCTCTCTCTCTCTCTCTCTCTCTCTCTCTCTCTCTCTCTCTCTCTCTCTCTCTCTGTGCACGTGCACCTCACACGTGCGCTACAGCAGCAGCAGCAGCAGCAGCAGCAGCAGCAGCAGCAGCAGCAGCAGCAGCAGAAGAAGAAGAAGAAGAAGAAGAAGAAGAAGAAGAAGAAGAAGAAGCAGAGGAAGAAGAAGAAGGAGAAGAAAAATAGCGTAATGGCATTACACAGTTAAAAATAAAAAAAAATTAAAATTAAAAATAAAAAATAAATAAATAAATTATGGCTGTACCTGGAGTGCAAGTTGCACCAAATACGGCTACAAGGACCAGGTGTTCTATTCGGGTGAAGACGGTAGCCAGTGGGAAAGGAACTGGAAACCAGATTGACAGCGTATAACTCTGTTGATAACCTCTGAGTTGGAATCCTGATGGAATCAGACAAATTATTATAAAATAATAACTCTGAATCGCTTGGGGTCAATATCAAGGATCCAGGTTCTGAGATGAGGGGGGTCAGGGCAGTTCAAAGGGGGTGCAAGTTGGGAAAATAAACGGGCCTAGAGACTGAAGGGTCAAAAGGACTGGATGACCACACTCCAGGGGACAAAATATATCGAAAACTCGGTCGCCAGCAACCGACCGAGTTTTTTGGACGTCCTTTCCTCGCACTGTCCGCGACACCGTTATATGCCAAAAAATATATACATATTGAAAACTGGGTGGCACAAAGAGGGGTGACCAAATGTTCTGTTGGGTGGCTATCGGGGGTCACAGAACCTACCAACCTGAAATGAGGGAGGGACAAGGAAAGGGGGGGGGAGGAGGGATGGAAGGGGGGAGGGGGAGCGCCGCAGAGTATAGTAGGCGCACAGTTTGCCATGGATCAGACAAGTATGTGGACAGCCCTGAAGTCCACCAACTCCCCTATAATAAAGAACTTCTTGCGATGTAGTACCTAATGTGATATTCTGCCTACCTATTCACATACTTGCATTATTTGAATTATTTCTCAATTTATGCATGTCATCCTTGGGCAGGGACCATTTTTAATTCCTAGCTCTTGTCCTTCTGGACATCCGTTAAAATGGGAACAATACAGAGAAGATTAGCATGGCCCCTGGGCAAAGGATGGCACAAATAAATAGAGAAATGGTCCAAAAATAATAATAATAAAAATCAATCCTAGCTTGAAGAGTATGTGGATGAGCGAATTGGCATGATGGAAACCGACGTTCGCGATCAAGCATCACGAGCTGGCCTAACTCTTATTTGGAAAATGACAGTGTGAAAAACAAAAAGGAAGAGGATGAAAGCAAGGAAAAGGAGGAGTGACACCGGGTAATGGCCCCGGTATCTCAATTTGTTCATAAATTGATTTTTACATATCTTCATATGGGACGCTGGGCCCAATTCCCAGCACGTGCTGCTCCCTACGAATAGATTGGAGCACGTTAAAAATAAAATAAAAAAAGAAAAAGAAAAAAAGCAAGGAAAAATAGAGGAACGTGTTTGTGGAGGTGCGGTTGAGGAAACTCAACTAGATTTTCTGCACATTTCCACAATCACTTCCAGATTCGGGCGTTGAGGTAACTCAACGCCGCTAGTGGAACTTGGCCCTCGGTCAGGGGAACCCGCAGCAAAAAACCCAGAGAGTTCGGAAGGAGAAATTGAAATCCTTGAAAGGCAAACAAGATTCGTGGAAGATTAGAATAAGCGCCTCTGAATTTTTTTCACATGCAGAGGCAAGCAAAGATTCACGGGGCTAGAAAAGTAGAGGCAAGCAAAAACGTGTTTTCACATGCAGGCAACTAGCGCTCTGGAGCATTAGCATAAGCGCCTCTGAATTTTTTTCACCGGAGCGAGCGTCTGGGCTGTGGGGGATCGTGTTCGTGCAGCTGCGATCAGTGCTGCGCGGTGCCAAAACCCAGGGTTGGGGTGGCGGAGGCGGTGCGGGAAAAGAGGCGCGTGGGCGCAGGGTGGGGACCGTTTTGAGGAAGCACTGGAATGCTTCTGCCATATCCTGGTCCTGGTCGGTGTATGCTGGCATTCCTGGAGAGACTACGGGAGGAAGGAGGAGATGTGTGGTGGTCCAAAGGGCGGGATCTGGGCGCCGCACATACAGCTACGTGAAACCTATCAGGGACTTTGCCCCCTGGCTTTGATACGGAGTCAGAAGCTGAAGATTCACGGGGAGATGAGAGACACGTGTGCATCGACGAGCGCTGGCTTCAGGGAGAGCGACACTAGAGCTTAGCTGTGACCGGTATCGCTCACCGTCGTTGACAACGGGCTTTAAGCTGCAATCGGCTTCGCTTTGCGTTGCTGATGCTCCTACTTCGGGTGTGGTGTAGCTTGCGAACTCTTCATCCTTACTTGGTTCTTTTCCCTTTTCTCTTATTTTGAGGGTTAATTAGCTCACACATTGATGTGTGTAGTGGGTATTTGGTTTTGGTTTCTTTGCCTGTGAGTTGGTTAGGGTTCATTCTTCATTTTGATTGTTTAGTTGTTTTTTGGGGTGGAATTATGTTGGTCTTTTTAAGTGTTTAGGGTTGGAGGTGTAGATTTTTGGTTTCGTTTTCCTTTCGATGGTTCGAGTTGGTTTGTGGTTGAGTGTTAGGGTGACGGGTGCTCTGCCGCGGTGGGGTTAATCCAGGCCAGAGAGCCTGGTTTATCCCTGCGGGCCGTGGTTACTGATGTGAGGGACGCTGGGCCCGTTTCCCAACCTGTGATGATATGATATACTCCTTTTTTTGTAAAAAAAAGTATAAAAATATGTAGGGGCAAACATGTGTCAGTACCCATAAGGATTTCCAATAAAAACGTTTTGTGAATGCATTCAGTCAGGAACACATCCAAATGCATGTACATTGTTGTGTAGTGGAGGGAGGCCCGAACTTCCCCAAGAACTTTTGGTAGGGGTAACTACGGCGCAGTCGCAGTTTAGGCAGATGAATTTGGGCGCTCCTGTAGTGGCCCGTACGTTTCCTAAAATAAAGGCTTGTTACAAAAAATGGTTGAGAGAGAAAACGTTCCATCTTACGAGCTCTTGCAACTATTAGGCGATCTTCTTCAGATAATTTGTCTAAACCAACAATAGCAATAATGTCTTGCAATTCCTTATAACGCTGCGAAGTTTTTTTTACCCCTTGAACACCCAGCACTGGTGATAATCCCCATGGACGAAATGGACGAAATGGACGAAACATCTCATCGTTCGCACTTCAACAATCTCCTACACACGCCTAACAGCTCTTTACCGGGCTGGGGAGGATGACAGGCATGGTATGGAAATCTGGCTTCTTCTTCTTCTTCTTCTTCTTCTTCTTATTCTTCTTATTCTTATTCTTATTCTTATTCTTCTTCTTCTTCTTCTTTAATTTGGACCATTTCTGGATTTATTCGTGTCATCCGTGTGCAGGGGCCATGCAAATCTTCTCTGTATTGTTCCAATTTTAACGGATGTCACAAAGGTCTGCAGTCTGGCTTTTTCATGGAATGTAAATGACCTATTGGTTGGGACGCTCACTACAAAGCAGATTGAAGAAAGTCGTAGTTGGACGTCTTTTTTTGTTTTTTTTTGTGAAAGAAAGGAGGCACCTATCTTAATGGTATATGTATCTGACCACATTTATAACCGCTGTGAAATGCGTCTGATGAGGAAGTATCTGATGGCATTAAGTAAAGAAGTCCTGCTGTGAGTATGCCTTTACACATGTCTGCATGTGATCTCCATGATTTTATTCTGTGTGGGACGCTGGACCCAGTTTCCAGCAGGTGATCCTCCCCACCAATAGATGTATAAGTCTCCGCCTATGAAACCGTATGATCGCGCTTAAGCACGAGCGCACGCTTTATCCCCCCCCCCCGCGCTCAAAGCGCTTGAGGGGGTTGTGCAAGTGCAGGGGATGCCGTAGGGGGGGGTGCGCGGAAAAAAAGAATAGGGGGGTGGGGGTGTTTTTTGTAGGGGGGG